GGCATTTTGAGTTTGCCTGAGGGAGCATTAACATCCCAGTCTGGACCCTCAAGTTCTGGCATTTTGAGTTTACCTGATGGCATGTCTAAGTTGACCTTTGGTCTATTGAGGTCTAGTTTTGGAGCGTTTAGATCAAAGTTGGGCATATTAATGTCAGGCGCATTTATCCCACCTCTGAGTTTGGGAGCAGATATATCGATGTCCTGTGATTTCAGGTCTAGGTTCGGGCCATCCAGCTTTGGACCAGAAAGACCTAGGTCTGGTAGGTTTAGGTTTGGCTTTTTGAATTTCCCTGATAAATCTGGAAGATCCATATCTAGATCTGTTTTGGGACCTTTAAAATTGACGTTGGGAGCCTTAACATCTATATCTGGAGCATTTATGTTGCCATCAATTTCAGGTCCATTCATATTTGGTGAGCCAATTGTTGGCATTTTCATTTTAGCCAGTTTCAGTTTTGTTTTTGGTGAGCCTATGTTGACATCTGGAGTGTTGACATCTGACTTGGGATTTTTCATTTTAATGTTTGGAAGGTCCCGATCAGTTGTATTCATTTCACCTTTTATTTGAGGAGTTTTCATGCTCAAATCTTGGGACATTTGGACTCTTTTAGTTGAGCTTGAAAATTCCAGATTTCTTGATGGTACAGTTAAGTCAGTACCTGGTAAATCCAAGTCTTCACTGAAGTCTGGAACTTGAATATTTGGCAGATCAAATTTTGGCATTGTAAATTTAGGTGCCTTGTACTTTCCAGATCGACCTTTAATTTGAACTGATGGAGCATCAGTGTTCAAGTCTTTTTCTTTCATGTTAGTTTTAAACAAACTGGCATCAGAGGCTGAAATTCCTCCTTTAAATTGTGGTCTTTTAAGGCTTAGGTCAATTTCATCTTCATTTCTGCCATTAACCCCAAGTCTTGGCAAAGTAAATGACCCAGTTGGAGCACCCATATTTAAATGATCAAATTTGTGACCAGTCTTTGGTTTTTGAAGAGACACATTAATGTCACCTGAAGGCATGTCAAAATCTGTTTCAGTGATATCATGCTGTGATACATTAAAATCAACCTTTTCCAGGTCCATTTGAGGCCTTTTAATGTCTGCTTTAGGAACACTAACATTAGAGGCTGAACCAGTCAAACGTTCCTTACTTAGATCAAGATTAGCCACTGTCAAGTCATATGACGCTTTCTCAGTGTCTGACAGGTATTTACCAGGTACAACCCTGACATTTTGATCATCTGGTAATGTCCCAGACAGATCACAGTCTGGAGCATTAAGTTGTGGATTTCTAGCATCAGGCTTTAGTCTTGGGACTAGAGAATTACTTAGAGTACCAAGACCCACCGGGGGAAGGTTCAGATTGCTGCCATCCATTAAGTCTTTAACTTTAGAGTTTGAATCCACATTTGCATCCTGGACCAGAGTCTTAGATTTCAGAAGTCCAAAGTCAACTCCAAGACGAGGCAACCCTATGTCATGTTTTAGGCTGACTTTGGATGAGGCAGGTACTGTTGTTTCTCCATTTGCACTGCCTGCATCTTCACCTGAAGAGGAACTCTTCATAAACTTCTTTATTTTGGCATTGTAGAGTTTATTGTAGGAATCATTCAGCATCTAGAAATATTAAATATAATTAGTTGAGTGTAATGTGTCAAAAACATCAGAACAATAAATAGCTTTAAGCTGCTGTAGCAAAAAGCAACATAAAAATAAACAATTAAATTTTTATGACTGGATTCCACTTACTGCCCCAGGAGTCCTATCATACTGGTTTAAGTTGTCAAGGCTTCTGTTCAGGTTTTTCCGAGTGAAGACTTGGATTTTGTCATCATATGGCTCCATCAGTTTCAGAACTTTTAATACCTCATCTTTTGACAGGTGATCAAAATTTATTGTTGCCCCCAAAAGTTCATCTCCTGAAAAGAAACAAAACAGTTTTTATATTGTAGTGGAAACGGGAATATCTTCTCAACAAGAAAAAGTCAAACTACTGTTCTTGTTAACTCATCTGATACTTCACTCTTAGGCCTTAGAACAAAGGCTAGACTTCCTGTCGCCAGTTAATTTGTTTATCACCTCTTTCAGAATAAGACTGAAATAAACATTGACATCAAAGGGCCCCTGATGTTAAATAAGACGAGACAAAACATCAAAAGACTCCCATCAGATTTATCTGTGGGTCAACACCGCCACCCTGTGGACATTTTATCTATTAACCCTGAAAATATTTTATTTTTCACCCATGTTTTCCGTTTATAACTATAAAAAGCATCTGTGAAGTGTCAAAACAATACCTTGGTACTCTGATTTAATTACTGTAATAATCATGACATTGTTTAAGTAACTTGATCTGGTTTTGATTAATTATTACTCTGTTCTTCTGTTACATGTCTGGAGGGTGTCATGTGACTACTGCAGAAAGTCTTAACCAATGAGAAGTTCCTTTGTGAACAGGGAATATTTCATTGTTCTGCCATGTGTAGAGTTCTGAGAAGCGTTTGAGGAGACAGTAGTTTTTCAGCTCCAGCTTCGCCCATTCCGAGGCGAGGCCATTCTTTTCCACTTTTTTACTTTTTATAGTTTAATCTTAAGGTGCTTTCAGGAAGTAGATTTACATTGATTGAAACCGATGAGGCTGATTTAATTAAAGTCGGACGACCACCAGTGTGCCGCAAGGAAGGCAGCCGCAGCGGTGCGCTGGACACCATCTCCAGTGAATGCAGCCGGCAAACCAGATGACCAGGGAACTTCTGCACAGCTAAGTCGCAGACTCGGTTGGACTTCACGTGCCAGCCCAATTAGCATTGAAGTATCCATTCTGGCCTCTACAAACTTTGCTGGTAGGAAATATCTTGCTTAATTAATCTGATGGTGTGTTCCAAGATTTAAATCAGATCAGATTAGATCAATGTTCATTCTTCTTCCCCTGAGCTCCCTCTGCTAGTGGTAGGCTTAGGAATAGCGAGTAGTGTCTCACTGAAATATGTTAGAAAGTCATTCACATGGTAATCATGCCAGATTAATTACATCACTTCTTGATCAAGTTTACGGAACTGATTATAAAGTGTGTTTGGTGTCTGAGAAATGACTTGTAATGCATTTATTTTCCCCCTGAACCTCATTTTAAATAACACACGGATGAATTTCCAAATGTGATTTGTCTCCGTCAGTGTATTTCCTTGTCTCACGCCATCATTAAACTGAAAGAATTAAACGCCTTCATATTTAGAGGATTGAATATTAAGAGAAAATTTTTCTGAAGCTTTACTATAAAAACTTTAGTGGTGCCTTGAGGAAAAAGATAATTTGCGTATTTGAATAATTCACAAATTATCCATTTTAGAATGTTAGCATTTACAACCCCTAAAATATGATGAAACATTAGCTTGATCCACAAAATTTTTTTTCATGTCTGCATACAAATGATATATTTCACCGAACAGGCTGTTTCAATCCAACATTACAAGGTAATTTCAAGCCAGCTTTCATCAAATCGTTGGTTGTGCATGAGCACTAAGAGTGAAAACATGGACACAGAATAACATCCTCTGAGGAAATGGCAGATATAATCACAAAGCTGAAATACCAGATTTGTTTAAAGCACAATGTTCTTCTCATTCACACTGTTGGCTTTTATTTAGTTTCACAACAGTGAGTGCATATACTGTATATATAT